ATCCTCTGATCCTTCAACACAGAGCATCTTCAGAAAACAAGTTAATAAAATAAATTTTAAAAATCTGTATTGTTCGATACAAAGTGTATATTGAACCTAAAGCACTGTGTTGAACTGTTTGACAAGGGTACATATATTGTTGCACCCCTACTATCTATCTATCTATCTATCTATCTATCTATCTATCTATCTATCTATCTATCTATCTATCTATCTATCTATCTAAGTGTCAAGTATAAACACTTTTGCTGCTACTGGCTAATAAGCTAATGGTTGCTAAAGTTAGCTTCTTGTTGTTTRGTAGCTTGTTATTGTTGTAGTGTAGTTAAACTTATGAAGAAAAAAATGTTAATAACCGCAAATGAAAACTTACATAAAGTTACTCTTATCTTTGTGATGTAACCCCCCAGTCAGTGAACCAATCAGTGTTAAGCAGTAGCTAACATCTAATCAGGCGGAGCAGCCCAGCCCGGTTGGAACCACGGGTCTTGGGGATCCAGAATTTGAGCTAGAACTGGGCATTTAGGGCTAATGTACACACACTGAACCCAGGTTTGAAGCCAGGTTGGCCCTGGTCAACCCGAGTCGGGCCTTTCAGTGGAAAAAGGCCTAAAGAGATGCAAAACCCAAGAAACAACTAAAACCATGACAGAAGTTAAGCTCTCCTCACTTGTACTGCTGGTGATCCTTAGTGCTCCGGGTCTTGGCCATGAAGCGTTCAGCCAGTTTCTCCAGGTTTCTGGAGTATTCCATCTCAATCTCTGCCTTCTTTCTGAAGAAGTCCTGAAGGTCCTGCAGCAGCTGGACTCGCATTTCTGTCTGCTGGTCCAGACATTTCTGCTGCTCCACCAACTGGGCTCGGATCTCTGCAGACGCACAAAGACAAAACACACATCAGGAAGCAGGTAAAGTCAGAGTGGTGACAAAAAATTAGTTTATATGGGAGAATTTTAAAAGCTGCAGAAACAAATTAAAAAAAACAACCTGAATGAAGCACAGGTCCTGTTAAAAGTTCAGAACACCATAAAGCTATGAGTAAAAACATAAATAATCAACAAGACAAGTCATTCTGGCACAGCAGTTATGCACAAGAGAATTACTGAACAGACCAGAGCAGCTCATTATCCTTTAGTTATGAGTCTCCTTAAAGCTTTTAAGGAGCAGGGTTGACAAAACTGGTCTCAAGTGTTTCATTAAAGCTGAAAAAACTTCCGGATGAGTGGGACCTGTTTCCCATCATGAAGAGTTAAAGAACAAACCTGAGAGCTCCTCCAGTCGCAGGCTCTCAGTTTCTTTAAAAGCAGGGCAGGCCTCTCTTAAATATGTTTTATGTGCAGATATGTTACCATCCAAGTTTTGTTTTTTTAAAGTACCACCACCCATCATTTCACCTTCTCGCTCAGAAGAACTAAGGTCTAACAGACGCACACCCYCGCCACACAAATGCTGTTTCTTCTGCAAGTTCCATCTTGCCCAGGCTTTGTATAATTGATTTCCCCTAAAGGAAAGTAGCCTGAGCCAGTTGTCTTTAGCAGAGGAAACAGATTAATGAGGTAATCTAGAGAAGATAGACACCAATCAGGTACTGTAATCTTTTATTTTGAAAGTGGGGCTAAAGATTATTACATATCCCTGCAAACCATTTGTACTACTAACTGGATGCCGTTATAAAAATGGGAGCTTGTGTTGTTAACGTGCCTATTGTTGCACACAAAGAATAACAACGCAAGTTTCAWGACAAACACTGACAAAGCTGCTTAACAGTTAAAAAAATGTTTTTTGATATTCCATAACTTCCTGCAGGTTTTGCTTACAACAATGATGGTATTAATTATAAATCCCTTTCAGTCTGACCTTTAACGTCAGTATCACTAACTGATCAAATACCGCAGGCCCTCCAGGTAAAAACCCATTCATGATGGTTTTTAATGTTTTTTTTAGAAATGCAGGAAAATAAATGGTTATCACTGCATTGTCACAACTCTTTGCGCAGGACATGTTAAAAGGAGAATTTAGGTCATACAATATTTATTAATACAACGTGTGAAGAGTTGCAGGGAAGTTGTGAATTTGTTGCACAAGCTCTTTTTTAAACACTTTAAAATGTACAACTTTAAAAACACTGTAAACATCATCAACACCATCAAATGCATCTCTTTTAAGAAGAAGTCGTATCAGATGGTGCATGTTAACAGATGAGGAGTGCGGCTGATTTGCATCTTTCACAACAAATTCAATGTATTTTACTTTGGTGTCCACATTTCTTAATATCCAAAAGATTGAACCAGAGCAAATACAACTTCACTAATCGTAGTAGTAATAGTAGTAGAAACAGTAAAACTATGCTAATTATTTATTGAGATAAATAAAGAGCAATGCAAAATATTGAAGCCCAATTCCGCCACTCAAAATAAATAATTTTTCTAATGATGTCATAATTATGAGATACAAAGTCATAATTATGAGATTCAAAGTCATAATTATGAGATAAAATGTCATAATTATGATATTCAAAGTCAATTATGAGATAAAGTCATAATTATGAGATTCAAAGTCATAATTATGAGATAAAATGTCATAATTATGATATTCAAAGTCAATTATGAGATAAAGTCATAATTATGAGATTCAAAGTCATAATTATGAGATAAAATGTCATAATTATGATATTCAAAGTCAATTATGAGATAAAGTCATAATTATGAGATTCAAAGTCATAATTATGAGATAAAATGTCATAATTATGATATTCAAAGTCAATTATGAGATAAAGTCATAATTATGAGATTCAAAGTCATAATTATGAGATAAAATGTCATAATTATGATATTCAAAGTCAATTATGAGATAAAGTCATAATTATGAGATTCAAAGTCATAATTATGAGAT